AATAATAATAATAATAATGCATTAAATTTAAAGCTACCCATAGAAAAAGAATATATTTAGCCAGTTTGAGCAGACAAAATAGCAAACTGTTCAAAACAAAAATGGTATAAAAAATTAAAAACACATAAATTACACATTTATTTTTAAAATCACAAAAATTAACTAAAAAAAGTTGCAAAATTATGGTATATTATTGATTATGGTACGCCTAAAAAAATTATGGAAAAGATAGTGAAATTATGGTACAATTCCATAATTATGGTACGGTTGGCAACGCTGACAGTTGGTCACCTTACCTTATTCTATCAGGGCTGTCAAATGACAATTTGAAGGTTAATTTGTGGGTTAAAATTTACGCTGTGTCTAGTCTCACGCTAGCGTGAACGCAATTTTATTCTTGTTCTCACGCTAACGTGAACGCAATTTAATTTTTATTCTCACGCTAACGTCAAAATAATTTTTCTTACTACCTCGACTCAAAATACGTTGTTTCGTCCCCGATTTCACGGCAGAAAGTTTACGTTTCTTGCATTGGTCAAGCTATACGCGCACACTCTAATAGCGGGAGTAAAAATTTTTTAGTCGTGTGCTTATCATTCAAATTTCGTACTGCCAACATGAGAAACACAAAAATATGACAGTTTTAAACCATAATTTTGCAATTATAACAACAAATAAACAATTTATGTTTTTACTTTTTTACTTTTTATGTTGTTTTAAGTGTTTAATGGTACTTTTATTTGTTATAAAGTAGTAATTTGTTAATTAAAATACAACCTTTTATTTTTACTGTATTGGCACCGCTGAATTACCATGACAACGCTACAGTTTGATTGATTTTGAATGTAAACGTCAGAATTAAATTAAACGTCAGATTTTAATTTTGACACAAGTTTTTTTAAATACATTTAATTTTTTCCCGTATTTTCTGCGGGGTAGCAAGAAAAATAGTATACACTACACGGGCAGAAAGTGTGAGATCCCTGAACTGCGCGCCATGATGCCCTCGGCTTCGCCTCGGGCATCATGGCGAGCAGTGCAGGAATCTCACACTTTCTGCCCTTGTAGTGTAATATACTATTAATTTTCACGTTAACTTCGTATATATAAATACAGCCTTTTGGTTTTTGGTTAAACCTAAGGCTGCCAACTTTGCCCAGGGGCGGTTTTAGACATCTACTGAGGGGGGGGGAGGCGAAAATAGAAAAAGCCCATGTGTGGTGGACTTAATTCTGCCAGCATTATTTTATTTAATTTTACTTTTTAGGTGTCGTGTCATTTGATTTGATTATGTTAATGTAATAAAATTTACTAATAATAATACGAGACTTTTTTACTGCAGCCAAACCAACCCAAACTCAACAACACAACCCAACCGACCCCGCCCCATTGGTACCAAACCAAAGCCAAAACTAGTTTAGAGATAGCCTCTTAAAAGTCAGCAGCAATACCAACAAACTTCCAAAATTTCGGTTATTAAAATTACGGTACAACTGCAAAAGCAAATTTTCATATATGGCATTATAAGGACTTTTCATAATTAGCAAAATAATCGATACAATGTATTCGATACATAAATTTATATCGATTCTAACGATATCCCGTCCGTATCACTTGTATCGATACGTATCGTATCGAACAGCCTACTTAAAATTGACATTTGACAGTTTTATGACAGCCTTGATAGAATAAAGTTTATTTTTTACAATAGAGGAGTAAAATCGTTGTTCTTAGCACTTTAAGGACTCTTTTAAGGCTTACTATGAGATTCTCATTATTAACATAATCAAATCAAATGACACGACACCTAAAAAGTAAAATTAAATAAAATAATGCTGGCAGAATTAAGTCCACCACACATGGGCTTTTTCTATTTTCGCCTCCCCCCCCCTCAGTAGATGTCTAAAACCGCCCCTGGGCAAAGTTGGCAGCCTTAGGTTTAACCAAAAACCAAAAGGCTGTATTTATATATACGAAGTTAACGTGAAAATTAAAATTATTTTGACGTTAGCGTGAGAATAAAAATTAAATTGCGTTCACGTTAGCGTGAGAACAAGAATAAAATTGCGTTCACGCTAGCGTGAGACTAGACACAGCGTAAATTATAACCCACAAATTAACCTTCAAATTGTCATTTGACAGCCCTGATAGAATAAGGTAAGGTGACCAACTGTCAGCGTTGCCAACCGTACCATAATTATGGAATTGTACCATAATTTCACTATCTTTTCCATAATTTTTTTAGGCGTACAGTGGCGGCCAAAAAATTTCGGGCAGAAATTTTCCTGTCATTTCAAAAAGTAGATGTAGCTTAAGCTTTATTCTCATTATCATTTGACGTTTTGAAATTTTAATTTTGCAAATGTCAGGTTTTATTTTAGTCAAATTTTGCAAGCATGCCTCCAGTAAATTACTTTCATAAAGTTTTAATAATAACCCATATCCAAAATGGAATGACGCAAAGGCAAGTTTCTGGATTGTTGGTGATACCGAAAAGTACAATTAATTCGATTGTAAAAAAATTTGAAGAAGATGGAATGGTCGAGCGGCGACGTGGCTCTGGACGACATCGAGGCTCCACACTTGATGAAGACGAAGCATAGATTGATGTTGTAGAAAATGCTCCCTTTACCACCGCTATTCAGGCGGTAAACAGAACAAATTTTCCAATTTCTGTTCGGACAGCACGTCGGCGCATTAGAACAGCTGGACTAATAAATTGTGCGGCCGCAAGGAAACCACGACTAACACCTCGCCATCGAGAAACGAGAATGGGATTCGCTTTAGAACACATTATTAAAGATGATGCCTTTTGGAACCGAGTTGTTTTCTCCGATGAAAAAGTTTTTCAGTCGTCTCCAAATGGTCGGCTAAAAGTCTACAGACCAAGAAATACCCGTTACGAAGAGAGATATGTTCAAGAAACAAAACAGAGCGGACGTTTTTCTGTGAACATGTGGGCATGGGTCTCAGCCGTTGATCCTGGCATAATGCTATATGTGCAAGATCGGTTTAACAGAAACGTCTATATTAGGGTCCTCGAAGACGTAATGCTCCCTTCGGTAACACGAGTGTTCCCCAACGGTAATTTTGTGTTTCAGCAGGACAGTTGCTCTGTTCATACTGCACACAGGGTAGCGGCGTGGTTCGAGAACCATAATATAGACGTTATTGACTGGCCAAGTCAAAGCCCCGATCTTAACCCGATCGAGAATATGTGGGGTCTTTTAACACGAAATTTACAACGTCGGAATTTAGTATTTAACAATACAGAGGAGTTATTGACCGCCATCACCGATGCATGGCATGAATTGCCCCAGAACTATAACAGGAATATATGTCTTTCCATGAACACTCGATTGACGAAAGTTATACAAGCTAATGGAGCAATGACAAAATATTAATTTTAATTTGCTAATTTAGTCCAGTTAAAGGCAGACATCAAGAAGACGCGTATTATCCAACGTCATTTTAACCTACGATTCGTGATAAAAAAGAGTTAAACAAACTGTTATACCTATTTGTTAAGCAAAGAATTTCAAAAGCAGTAGAGTGGACTTTTCTAACCATTTGTAATACTAGTAATATACCATTTATTTTATGTGAAGTTTTTCTTAAGGCAGGGTAAAAGCATGAGATTAAAAAAAACCTCCAAAACAATACTGATTTATAGGCAAGAAGTGACCACAGATCATACAACTGACAGAATTAAAAATTAAGGTTACCAGGGTATAAAGGTTGTTTCACCGCATGTGTCAGCAGTGTTGCCAACTCGTGGGAAATTTCCCGATTCGTGGGAAATTTTAAGTGCCAAAGGGAAAAGGGAAATTTTAACATAAAATCCTGTATTCGTGGGAAATTGTAAAGTCCAATCAATTTTCAACTAAAACAACTAGAAAAGAAAAGTCCAAACAACATTCATGAAAAAAAAATTACCGAAAAAATGTTTAATATAGTAGTATTATACGGTATATATATATAATAATAATATAGGTTACCTATTATAGGTACTACTTTTTCTTTTAAAAATAACAGCTTAAACATATCAAGTTTGTGGACAGCCAAAGTCAACAAACCAGCGGCCTAATAGTGACGTCACTGATGATGAGGATACATCTATGTGAATCGTCACAAACTTGCGTACAATCAGCGTTGCCGGAAGGCCAATGCTAAATTCCTGGCTTAACTAAAATCTATTACTGGAAATTACTGGCAAAATAGTTTTGGTTTGCATACAATGCAGTTAATTTTTAATTTTATTTTTTTAGCAGGGTATTTATAAATACAGTGTATATACTACGCAATGCGTAGTACGCATCTAAGTTACGCATCTAAGTTACGCATCTAAGTTAAATCACAGTTTTACAGAAATTCACGCCATAAAAATTTTCGTTCCATCTTTCAAGTTTCTTACTGGTAAATTCCTGGTTCACATTCAATTTCTGGCAAAACGGCAACCCTGCTTACAATTTGAAATATACTCGGGGATTTACCGAATTATCCGTGCGATTTGTAGCAATAAGTGGGCCTGTGTTTCTGTGTAGTATTTTTGTAAAAGCTGGTGAAGTATTATTTAATGAGCTGTATAAAACAAAAAGTGTTAGATTAAACTAGTTTTTATTTACAAACGCAATTCGTAATGTCTAGTTCATTAAATGAATGATTTAAAAAAAATTATCATTTTTTTAATTTAAATTTCTCCGTTTCTCAAAATGTTGTATTTTTTCTTCTAAAAAACAAAAAATACCCATGCCAAAATAAACTTTATCATTTTTAAAATTCGTGGGAGAACTTTCGTAAAAAAGGGAAATTTTTACCCTCTTTGTGGGAAATTTAATTCTCAAAGGTTGGCAACACTGTGTGTCAGTGAATGTCAAATGGTGCCCGAAATTTTTTGTCCGCAACTGTACCATAATCAATAATACACCATAATTTTGCAACTTTAATTAATAATGAGAAACACAACGTTTAAAACGATTATTAATATGTATAAACAAAGCACAAACCCAAAGCACAAAAATTGTAAACAACAAAAATGGCCGCCGTTAAACTGTGCAGTGTTGCAGTGATTTTTTGTATTTTTAGTACGAGATAGAAAAGTCCTTGTTGTGTGGATTGTGAGAAAGGCAATGCCTTCATAGAAAAAACTCTTCATGTATGCCTTTAAGGCATACCTACATACACATTTTAAATTTCCCGCTTTTCATTGTTTACAAGTATACAAGAGTATTTTTATCTGCAATCATCTTATGATCTGTGTCAGCAATAAACAACGTAGAAAATAGTTTGAAGTATAAATTACAATAAATGCATTAATTTTTGTACTTAAAATGATACCTACGTTATATTTATTGACACGAACGGTATTTGGATTGATTTGTGTCTATTTTAAGTAAAAATATCTACCTCCCTATAATAAAAAGTAAATCCAGAAGAAGCTTTAAGGTACAATATCAAAATATAGGAGTAAAAAAATAATAATCGGGAATTTAGGTTATGCAAAATATTAAATTAGTAGGTACCTTGAGTGGCAAGAATCCAAATTTTGGCAAACAAAGATGAAATTAAACCATGAATTGGCAAAAATATTTTTATGGATTTATGCCTAAAATATATTAGGTATATTTATTAAATAATTATCCAATTAAGCATCTTTGGTAGTTTAGTAGTATCACTGCCATAAATTAGGTAATTTAATTAGATTTTTATTAGGCCATTCTATATTTTTAGGTTATAAACAAAAAGTTATTTAAAACTATTTTAGGAACAACCAAGACTCATCATCTAGCCACAGTGAATGTAATCTAATAAAAACTGACAATAAAGATAATATAATGAAAAGAGCTGCTGCTAAAAAACTAATAGAAAGATATTTTTATCAGCTAACTGATGGATGTGGCAATCCAAGTTGTAATAATAAATGTTGTGCTTCTAGTGGCAATGTAAGTTTTTATATTTATCCTAATTTAACCAATGTAGTGTTCATTAACAAAAATGAGGGGACCAGTACAAGAAGCAGGTATCTCTAAATAATAAAATTTTACAGTAAAAATAATGCTCTCCCTGCTTAAAATAGCCCATAGAGACCTATACAAAATAATCTATCGGGCGCTACCGGATTCTATATGTGCATTTGTCCATGGGTTTTTCCGGATACAGCCCGATAGAAAATGTATAGGAAATTACCTATAGGCACACCATAACTTTTACATTTTCCCTATTGAGACCGATAGAAAATAACTCAATGAAGGATATATAGGGAAATCCCTATAGAGCAACCATAAAACATTTGACAAAATTTTATTAAAACCTATAGGGTCCTATAGGGAAAAAACTAATTTCTACATTTATGTGTATTTTCCCCATTGAAACCGATAGCAAATAAATCAATGGTGGATATCCCTATAGAACAACCATAAATCTCAACTACGGGTCCTATACAAACCGATACACCCTATAGAAACACCATAAATCCTGATACAAATATCTATCGGTTTGAACAGGGTCTCTATGGGGTATTTTAAGCAGGGCTCCTAAATGTCTACGCCTGGCTTCAATAAACTCTATGCCAAGTGAAATTTTGTTCAAACCATTATGTTTATTTATAGGAGTGTTTTTTTCCTTCTGTAAAATTTTATATTGTTTTGAATATACCTACCTGGTTCTTGCACTGGACCCCTCAAAAATACCAATTACAACAAATCATGTAGTTTTGCAGTCCCTTGAATCAAAGCTGACACAAATTTTGGTTAAAATTTATACAAACTGTTTATGAGTAAGGTGACCAACCGTCCTGGTTTACCCAGGACAGGTTCTGGTTTTTGCTAATGTGTTCTGGTTTCAATTGTTTACTGGTTTTGTCCTGGTTTTGCAGATTTAGTCATGGTTTGTACTTTTTTTATATTAAGGTATTTGTAGCAAATAACCTTGCTGGTTACGGTTGGTATATCCCCCACTTAAAAATTGTGTCGTCATCCACTGAATGACGTAGCGGTTAAGTTTCGCTAAAACGCGGTTGGTATTTGTTTATATAGACCTATTCTTACAAAATAAAATAAAATAATGAATATGTTATGTTTAGTGTTAAGGTATTTGTAGCAAATAACCTTGCTGGTTAGGGTTGGTATATCCCCCACTTAAAAATTGTGTCGTCATCCACTGAATGACGTAGCGGTTAAGTTTCGATAAAACGCGGTTGGTATTTGTTTATATAGACCTATTCTTACAAAATAAAATAATGAATATCCCGGACAACATTCGTGATATTCATACGAACATCATGTCGTGATTTTCACAAATTTTATTCATACTGATATCATACGGAAGTCACCGCGTGATAAATTAAAATCATACGAACGTCACGTCGTGATTTTCACAAATTTTATTCATACGGACATCATCCGGATGTCACTGCGTGAGAAATGAAAATCATGTCGTGATTTTTTATGCCATCGCTGTTTGCGATTAAGCGATGGCACAAAAAATCATGTCGTGATTTTTTATGCCAACGGTGTTTGGATAATCATTTTTGCGCCACGTTCGTACACTAAGAGAAAAATTATGTTGAATCAACAGTTTTTGCGGTTAAATAAATTTAATATTTTCTTGGATTTAAATTAATTATAGTTAATTTAAATCCAAGAAAATATTGAATGTATTTAACCACAAAAACTGTTGATTCAATATATATGTAGGTATACTTTTTCTCTCAATGTACGAATGTGGCGCAAAAATAAATATCCAAACACCGATGGCATAAAAAATCACGACATGATTTTTTATGCCATCGGTGCACCGACATGTTTGGATATTTATTTTTGCACCACATTCGTACATTGTGAGAAAATGTACGTTAACAATTGAATTAACAGTTTTTGCGGTTAAATACATTTAATATTTTCTTGGATGTAAATTAACTATTAATTTAAATCCAAAAAAATATTGAATGTATTTAATATATCCAAAACCGTCCAGGGTAGACAAGAAAAATTTTTGGAATTAATCAAACTTTTTATGGCCAATAAGATGTAATAATAACAATTCAAAATTTCCATGAGGGGTGGGTCAGATAGATAGGGAATAGGGGTTAAAACCACCCTAACTTTTTTTACGTGTCTCATGCTAGGATTTTATGTCAGATTATGAAATTTCGGAATTTTACACACAAAGAAGGTCCTCTTGGTAAACTTTGATATTGTCCACTGTTTTCGCTTAAAATCTATTTAAAAATTACCTAACATAGCATAAAAGATCATAATGAATTCACAAGAGAGAAAAATTCAGAGTAGGCCATGGAACACAGCTGCCATCTTAAGGAAAAATTATTTAAGACAGGTGACAGTTTCATGTAATATGTGACAGGGTGTTTAAAAATTGTCGATGGTCATGTTTAAAAATTGTCCATGGCCTACGCTGAATCTTTTTCTCTAGTTATGATTTCATTATGAATTTTTTTGCTATGTAAGGTAATTTTTAAATCGATTTTAAACGAAAACGGTGCATGCTATCGAAGTTCATCAAGAGGACTTTTTTTGTGTGTAAAACTCTGAAATTTTATGATCTGATATCAAATCATAGCACAAGATACGTACAAAAAAGTTGGGGTAGTTTTACCCCGACTCCCTTTCTATCTGACTCACCCCTTATGATTTTTTTGAATTTGTTATTATTCCAACTTATTGACTATAAAAAGTTTGATTATATCCCAAAATTTCACTTTTCTATCTTAAACAGTTTTCGAGATATTAAATAAAAACCATCTTCAGGGGCTACCCTTTCGGGGGCTGTAGCTCCCTTGGAAATCATTTCTCGACCTATTTTTATAGGAACTTTTTTTCTTATTTTTATATGTAGAATCTGCTGTTAAAGTATTGCACGCTAATTATGGGACACCCTGTATATGTAGGTATACTTTTTCTCTCAACTTACGATTGTGGCGCAAACATAAAAATTCAAACACCGATGGCATAAAAATCACGACATGATTTTTTATGCCATCGGTGTCTGGTCATAAAAAATCATGACATGATTTTTTATGTCATCGGTGTTTGGATATTCATTTTTGCGACACATTCGTACATTGAAAGAAAAAGTATGTTAACAATTGAATCAACAGTTTAACATTCAATAGTTTCTTGGATTTAAATTAATTATATAATTTATTTAAATCCAAGAAAATATTAAATGTATTTAACCGCAAAAACTGTCGATTCAACATAATTTTTCTCTTAGTGTACGAACGTGGCGCAAAAATAATTATCCAAACACCGTTGGCAAAAAAAATCACTACATGATTTTTTATGCCATCGCTCAATCGCAAACAGCGATGGCATAAAAAATCACGACATGATTTTCATTTCTCACGCAGTGACATCCGGATGATGTCCGTATGAACAAAATTTGTGAAAATCACGACGTGACGTTCGTATGATTTTCATTTATTACGCGGTGACTTCCGTATGATATCAGTATGAATAAAATTTGTGAAAATCACGACATGATGTTCGTATGAATATCACGAATGTTGTCCGGGTAGGTTTTAAATTCGAAGTTCGCAGGCCTCATGCGCATGCGCAAACTTTGCAAATATCACAACGTGAGTTCTACATGATATCACTGTGATGAAGCATGTGTATGCACTCAGGATATCACAGCGTGATAAAAAAAATCACGTTGTGATATCATCATGACTTCACCAGGAAATCCCGATTGTTGTCCGGGATGTTATGTTTAGTGTTATATAATGCAGGAGAATTAGTGATCTTGTGCTTAACTTGTTATTTTTTCTACATGAAAACAATGGATACATTGTGTTTAGTGTTATCCTCGGTGTTATCTAACGCAGAATTATTTTTTAGTGATCTTATGTTTAACTTGTCAGTAACAAGTTGTTACTTCTTCTACATGAAAACAAGACTAAAATAATTTGCAATGTTCTTAAAAGAGAAATACACTTCAGAATACCTACGCCAGATACAAATATATCACAAATTGCTTTGTAATCGTACTCTTTATAATTTAACGTTATTTCCATTAATTCTGTATCCATTTTAATAATAAAAATATACACAACTTAAACAACCAAACACCGGTAACGGAAGTGGCGAAAATCTATGACGTCATCGCGCCTTCCCTACCATAACCCCGGTAAGACCTAGTTACTCGCTACAAATACCTTATTATTGGCGTTATTAGCACATCTCTAATATAGGTGATCGGATCTAGCACGCTCGCAGCTCTACAGCAGTTTAATGATTAAACTTTAATCTAGTAAATTTGTCTACTTATTTTTATTTATTTTAAAACAATATTTTTACATTTTGGTTAGGTTTTTCAAAAACAGTTTTTGTATTGCCTGGGAATAAATACTAATATCCTATAATTAACATTAAACAAAATAAGTTTTGTTTATTTTTTGGAAGGGAAAGGGGGGCATGTTTTGTCCTGGTTTTTTTATTTTAGAAAGTTGGTCACCTTAATCATAAAGTGTCTGCTTATTGTCTCTATTATTACTACAAAATTTGTTTTGCATATATGTGTAACATTTAAAAGAAATGTATAAATTTGAAAATACGCAAATTATTTTAGAGGTACGACGTACCTGGTACGTAGTGAGACATTGTATTAAGTTAATTTGAATATTTTTGAAAAAGAAAAAAAAATTCTTGTATTTTGTGGGTGAGAGCAAAAACGTTTACGTGAATTTAAATAAACGAAGATTTTTTTAATTCATAACTTTTTTCTGTATAAAAAAGATTTTTTTAAACGTACTATGGTCCACACCCAAAAGTCCCACCACATGACTGATGCATTATTAAGGTTAATTTGCTGTCAGTGTCAAGCTAGTTTCGTACTTTTTTCTGAAAATAATGCAATATGTGTATTTTTGTGTATAAAAATCTTAATTTAGATCACAAAAAATACATACAGGGTGTCCGGGAAA